CTGGGTGTGTTGAACATTCTCCACCCTCCAGTTTGAGGGGGAGTATTGGAAGCTAGTTTGTTAGATATTAGTTATTAGGACCAAAGTGTAATTACTAGGACTTAGAGGTCATTATTATTATTTTATTTTTCCTCCTTGACTATACTATATATAATTGGCAGTTACGACTGTTAATGAATTAGTTAGAAAATTTCCAAACACTCGTCTTCTTCACGCTTACAGCTCTCTCCCATGGCATGCATTTGATTTGAAGAAAAGTTAATGTTTTTGCGAGTGGAAAAAAATTTTCACCCAAAAACTGTCCTAAACTAGTTTTTTGTAACTTGAATTTTTTTTAATTTTCCCCCCCAGAACATAATCATATTTCATAAAATGATGATAAGTTATGTATTTAAACTAAATTTTAAACTAATAAAAATGATGGTGGAAGTTGAATATTTAAGTAGTAATTAAACTAAATTTTAAACTACATGTATATGTATTGAATTATCTTATATCTCAATGATTTTACTTTTATTTGAATTATCCATTAATATGTATAATCTATAATATTTGCATACAAATTATATTATTTAAAAATTTATGGTATAAAATAATTTTGTTTATAAGAAAGAAATATGAATTACATGGGATGAATATGTAAAAAGAAAAAAAAGAATTTGTTTAATGGAATAAGAAAATAAAATTTAAATAAAAGACAATAATATAATATAGAAGAGAGAGAAGAATATAAAACAAAATTTTTTTTTTTTGGAGTAAAACTTGGAGTAATGATTGGAGTTAGTTTACTCCATTTTTGAGTTACTCCATTTTTGAGTAAAGATTTGGAGTGAAGGTACTTTCTCCATCTATATCAACTTTTCTTCCTTCCTGTCTCGTACGTACTGACATAGGCGAATCCAGAATTTGAAGTTTATGGGTTCAGTATTTTAGCCCTTTTAAGTTACTGGGTTCTAAACTAATAATTTGTACATATTAAATAAATTTTTTAAGACAAACACAAAGTTTGGACCAAAGCTAGTGATTTTGGCCGAATCTGCAACTTGGTCTTTGGCTCCGCCCCCGCTTATTGAGAGGTTTCAAATTAAAAGTGGTCTTTTTCCTCAAAATTTTCTTCAATTTTCAAGTTTATAATACATAGCTCACGATTACAGAAGTGGGTCTTAGGATTTTCAATACATGGGTGCAGTACTAAAAAAAGGAAGGAAAAAATATATTAAATGGGAATTTGATCCTTATTCCTCTTAGTAAATAACTCAACCTCCAACCAAGTGCAGCATTCAATCTTTTTAAATTATGGGTGCCAACAGTTAATATTATATAAATTTTAGAAAATGTACATAAAATTTAATTTGCGGATCGGAGAGACCATAAGTTTACGTGCCCCATAAATCATAATCTCCCTATAAATTCACCCAGCTCATGAACGGTGCGCAAGGGTTAAGAGAAGAGAAAATATAACCATCTCAGTCCATAAGTTCTAAGATAAAAATATTTTGAAAATAGTGCTAACGAGTTTAACATACTTGAAATAAAGTAAGGAGTAGGGAGTATTTTTTTTAAAAAAAACCACCTTACTTTTGCGGGATTAGGCCTGACCCCAATCATAAGTAAGTTCTTGTTATTATTGTAACAAGGTGAAAAACGGTCTTTCGTTTATGAGTCAGTATCTCCCCCTCCCTCCCCCCTTCCCCCTTTAAGCATATGTTTTTGAAGCTTGGTTAGGGTTAGACCCAACAAAAAGGTAAAAATGCCTCTATTCAAAAGTTTAATTTTTTATTTTTAGGGCTGAAAACCCGGTATATTAAAAAATAAAAATGTACTATCTTAATAGCTTAAGTTTTTAGATGAGATTATCATAATCTTCAACATAGTGTCTAAGCAAACAAAGGTTCTAGATTCAAATATCAGCGCTGTCAATTATCATAAAACATTCACGTACTTGACCAATGAAAAAGAATTAGGCTCACATGTGAAGGATCGAGCATGTTTAAAATAATAAGTGTATCATCTCTAATAAGTAACTTAATTTTTTACATAAAATGATCAGATAACTTTCGACTAATTGCGAAAGAATCCCAATCATCTAACTAGTACTACACGTTTGCGGTCTTCAAAGGCAATAAACTTGGACATGTCATATAGTTAGGTCATGGAATTCGAAAACCAACATTGTAACATGAAATAGAGAAAATTATATTTCTACCTTTATAAATTCTCAAATTTAAATGACCGCTTCAAGTGTTAATATCTACATTCTAAATTTAATGTCTCTAAGAATAAATATACTAAAAAGGGCAGCTCGGTGGACTAAGTTATCGCGCTAGGAGCGGGGTCCGGGGAAGAGCCGGACCACAAGGGTCTATTGTACGTAGCCTTACCCTGCATTTCTACAAGAAGCTATTTCTACAGCTTAAACCCTTGATCTCCAGGTCATATGACAGCAACTTTACTAATTACACCAAGGCCCCCGTCTGAAATGCTCTTATTGAGTCGAACTCAAGACGTGCGCTAACTAAGAGGGCGCTCTAATACACTACTCTATGAGAACTTATTGCAAAAAGATTAAGCAAATCCAAATGCCTTTATTAAGTTGGTGAAAGTACGCGCGGGGGGGGGGGGGGGGGGTTGCCGATTTTTCTTTTTATACCCTAAGTAGTTGACTAGTTCACTAGTTAGTGGACTGAAGGTAAGAGTATAATATAAGTAAAGCAAAAATAAAATGCAAGAATTAAAGACACTAGGATTTTTATACTGGTTCAGATACAATGTGAATCCTACGTCAAGTCCCCTTGGGTTGCAAGGGTGTTCTCTTTCAGTATTTGACGTTTGTCGATACAAGAGAGTTAATGTAGCCTTACACCAACAACTTAGTCACTATTTCATTTCTCTCTTCTTGATACAATGTCTCACCAATATTTTCTCTTTTTCTTCTCTCACTAGTTACACATCAGATCTAAGTGAACTACATTGCTTGTTTGGAGTAGAACAAAAAGAGTGACAGCAGTTCGTTCAAAGTATATTTCTTCAAAGCTGATGCAGTGGGTATTATACTTCGTGAGGCCTTCATATCTTTTGAATCTTGAGAGATTGCAAACCCAAGGGAGTTGATCTCAGAAAGGAATCGTAGATTGATTTTTTTCAAGTATAGAATATTACTTTTGTTAATTTGCCTTGACTTGTGATCTTGATTTATTTCCTCCTTTGTTGAGTGGATATTCCCGTTATCAAAACCCTTGATTTCTGCTTCAATTGGCGTCCTTATACGGAGGAATCTTCATTGCATATTTCGTGCCCTTTATTTCCTTTGATTGAGGCACTTCCTATAATATCCTCCTTGATCTCATACCAAATCCTTGATTGGTTTTGCCTTTTATTTTTCGAAACTCATTCCTTTTTCTTCTTGATTCTTCTATGCCTATTTTCTATTGCTCAAGAACTATTTCTGCACATAAAGAGTAATTCATTATTTTGCATCATTAAAATCAACTTAGATCAAACAATCTCCCCCTTTTTGATGATGACAAAATAATAACGTAATAGCGTTAGTTTACTTCTCTATTTATTAGTTGACTTTGAGTGTGTTGTAGTCGACTCCCCCTTAATCTGTATTTCTTCTTAGATATGTCTAGTCGACTCCCCCTCAGCTGGACATTCTGTTGTGCAGTAGTTGCAGTCGACTCCCCCTCAATTTTATACTGTATGTTGTGCCTGCAAGTTGAATATCTGCAAGAAAATTTACAGAACATAGAACAACCACATAGAACATGGAATACAGAAGAACACAAACCCTTAAGCTTGATTACTTTTCTCCCCCTTTGGCATCAACAAAATGTTATAACCTACGTTAGCATGCATAACAGAAGTAATTGTCCTAATAATACAACCCATGACTGAACCATCGATCTCAAAAAAAGCAAAGCAAAAAAAAAATTATCTTAAACAACCATGCCTCAACAGTGTAGAAAGTAAGTAAGGGTATTGCAAACAGCCTCCTTGAGGTGATCAAAACTAGCATTCACTGTGACAGAGATACCATCAATTCTATCGTGCACCTCTGTAAAAGCATTTACTGCTTTTTCTGCAGTCTTGAGAATATGCACTCGGATCTTGGACATGTTAGAGCATGTCTCCTTTGCCACTCCATGGACATCTTCAATTGTGCTTTGCATAGAGGTTAAAGAGTTCTTGATGACAGTCGATTTTTCGTTGATGGAGGCTAGCTTTTCTAAGTGATCAGGACCACCTGCACTGGGAAGAGACAGAGAGGTTTTCGCTTTTGATTCGGAGAGGATATTCTTGGCTTCACCTTCTTGATTCTTTACCCTAGTTCCCTTTCCAGAAATATATCCCATGCTAGCAAATCCCTTGGAGTTATACGGCTTGGTGACAGTGATATAGGGATAGTCGACAAGAGTAATCTGATCCTAGATTAACTGGTTCAGGAAGTTGAGAGGAGGGTTTCGTTCTAGAATGGGTGCTTTTGCTGGTTAAAGTAGAGGGGTTTTTGGAATTTTTCACCATAGTAGGGTTTGGAGCAGGGGAATGGAGATACACACAATATGAAGAAGATCTGAGGAGACTTGGGCTTAAAAAGATGAGAACTGGTGGTTGAGTACCAGATGAAAAGTCGTCAGTGATTCTATGCTATGATTGACTGATTTCTGAAAAAACATGAAAATATGTGAAAAAGCAAAAGTAACAGACACACAATTAATGCCAAGAGAGTCTTGTAATGCACAAAATCTATCTTCAAGCAAGGGTTTTATATAAACATCTGCTAATTGATCAGTGGATCTTACAAACGATAACTCTATGTTACCTTTAAGAACATGATCTCTAATAAAATGATGCTTAATATCTATAAGCTTAGCTCTATAATGATGCACATGATTTTTAGACAGACAAATAACACTAGAATTATCATAGAATATTTGAATATATTTAAAAGATAATTCATAGTCACCCAATTGATGTGACATCCAGAGTAATAGAGCACATCATTGTCCAATTGCAATGTACTCTGCTTCAGTTGCGGAAAGAGCTACTAATCCATGTTTTTTACTGTTCCAGGAGATTAATGCCTTTTCCAGTAATTGACAAGTGTCACTAAGATCGACATCTAAAAATCCTTTAAGTTTAAAATTGTTAGAGCGTGGATACCAAAGTCCGTAAGAGGTGGTTCCAATGAGATAGTGAATTATTCTCTTTACTTCTGTTAAGTGTGACTCCTTAGGAGCTGATGAAACCTGGCACATTTACAAACACTGAACATGATATATGGTCGACTAACAATTAAATATAATAAAGATCCAATCATTCCACGATACTTTGTTTCATCTACTGATTTTCCCTGTTCATCCTTGTCTAAACTTGTAAAGGGACTCATAGGAGTTCCAATTAATTTGGCATTGCTCATTTCAAACTTTTGAATCAATTCCTTCGTATACTTGGCTTGACAGATGAATATCCCACTTTCTGATTGATGAATTTGGAGTCAAAGAAAGAATGTCAGCTCTCCCATCTTACTCATTTCGAACTCACTTTGCATGAGATTTGAGAAATCTTTGCACAAAAGAAGATTAGTACTACCAAATATAATATCATCTACATAAATTTGAATAATGAGATTACCTTCAGTGGATCTTTTGATAAATAAAATAGTATCCACCTTACCTTTGATGAACCAATGATCAGTTAAAAAAGAACTAAATCTTTCATACCGAGCTCGAGGGGCTTGTTTGAGTCCATAGAGAGCTTTAACGTGCTACCAGTGCAAAGATTTTATCATAGTCGACTCCTTCCTGCTGTGAGTAGCCTTGAGCTACTAGTCTAGCTTTGTTTCTCACTACCTTTCCTTCTTCATTTAGCTTGTTTCTGAACACCCACTTTGTTTAAACTACAGTATCATTTGCTGGCTGAGGTACTAGTTCCCATACTTGATTCTTGTCGAATTGATCGAGTTCGTCCTGCATAGCTTATATCCAGCTGGAGTCTATTAGGGCTTCATAAACTTTCTTTAGTTATACTTGAGAGATGGGTGCAAAGTTTGCCTTCTTTTTGAGAGATTCTCTAGTTTTCATTCCTTCGATTGGATCCCCTATGATGAGCTTTTGAGGTTACTCAGGTTCGCTTCTCCATTCATTTGGTCGCGTTCCAATTGCAGAAGTAGTTGACTCCTTGTGTGGTTCAGTAGGATGCTCACAGGTTCATTAGTCGACTCTGTGACTATGACTATGCTATCAGTCGATTTTGTGACTTGTTTGCATGTGTTACTTCTTAACTGATATCTTCATCACCTGCAATGATTCTTTTCTCGGCCGTAGTGTTATTGTCATCAAATATAACATGCACTGATTCTTCTACAAATAAAGTACGTTTATTATAAACTCTAAAAGATCTACTATTAATGGAGTAACCGAGAAAAATACCTTCATCACTCACTGGATCAAATATTCTAAGGTTATCCTTACCATTGTTGTGGATGAAACACTTACTTCCGAACGGATGAAAGTAACCTATATTAGGCCTTTTGCCTTTCCATAATTCATATAGAGTCTTCTTCAAATGGGTCTTATGAGACATCTGTTGAGTATATAACATGTTGTACTTACTGCTTCTGCCCAAAAATGACTTGGCAATGAATGTTCTAATATCATGGTTCTGACGATATCTTGTAGAGTTCGATTTTTGCGCTCAACTACCCCATTTTGTTGGGGTGATCTTGGGGCTGAGAAATTGTGAGTATAACCTTGATCATTGCAGAATTCTTCAAAAGCCATGCTTTCAGACTCTCCTCCATGGTCGCTTTGGATGCCTGTGATAAGATACCTTTTTTTCTTTTTCAATTCTTTTGCAGAAAATCTCAAAGTTTTTCAATGCTTCATCTTTATGATATACGAAAATTACTCATGTAAAACGTGAGTAGTCATCAACAATAACAAAAATATATTGTTTACCTCCAATGCTGGCAGTTCTGGTGGGTCCAAACAAGTCCATATGAAGCAATTGTAAGGGCTTGGTACTGGACACAATGTCCGTGGTTTTGAAAGAGTTTCTAGTTTGTTTACCAATCTGATATGCATCACATACACGATTTATAGAAAAATTGAGTTTAGGAAGACCAATAACTAAATTATGCTTGGAGAGTTTTTCAATTAGATACATGCTTGCATGACCAAGTTTTTTATGCCAAAGCCATGGATAATCAGATATGGATGCTAAACAAATATAACTGTCTAGATTTTCAATGCCCTCAAGAATATAAACATTTCCATACCTTTTACTTGGAAGAACGATTTTACCGGTCTCATGTTCAATGGTATATCCTGTTTTCTTGAATTTTACTTCGTATCTCGAATCACATAGCTAACTTATACTCAAGAGATTGTAGTTGAGTCCATCTAAAAGATATACCTCTGTAATATCACAATTATTGCTGAATGGAACTGCGTCAGTACCAACTATCTTTCCTTTTGAATCATCATCAAATTTGGTATTTTCTCCATTTATTTTTGTGACTTCTTCGAATAGATTTTAATCGTCCGTCATGTGAGTGGAACACGCACTGTCTAAATACCATTTTCCTTTGCAACTTTTTCTGTGGTATTCCTGTAAAATAGAATTATCACCTTCTTTTAGATACTCAAGCTTTCTTGGGTCCTTATTGGTTAGTTCTACTGGAATCAGGGTTGTTTTTGGGTTTTTATATCCATGCTGAAACATTGGATTTACGAAATCTACAAAAGAAATATTTATTTCCAGCTTTGTTACAATAATGACACTCAGGGGTTGATCGAGTTTTTGATCTACCACTTATGTTAGTACTTGTGGACTCAGTTCTAACTTGTCCTTTTCCAGTTGACATGTAAGTCGCCTGGTTAGACTTGATAGAACTGTGACAGGTGGATTTGCGCATGCCATTCAGTTGCACTTGCAATTTCTGAACCTCATCTTGAAGCACATCTCTTTCTATTTCACAGACTTCAAGCTTAAGTTCCCAGTCCTTCTTTTCTCTATTGAGTCTCTTTAATTCATTCAACATTTTTTGAGACTTCTTTAGGGTAAGATCAAGTATATCCCGCAATTCATTACATCTATCACAGTTATAGGGTCTTACCTTGCTTGCTTCACCTCGTTCCATGAAACGTTTTTCAGTGTCTTCCTTGCATTCATCGTCTGATGCATCTTCATCAGTCTATCAACCAGAATATTTGTTCATATCATTTTCCAAAATAGTCATGAAGCGCAAGTTTTCTATTTCTTCATGTTCTCATCTATCTTCATCATTCTAGCTTCCCAAGGATTTGTTTTTATCGAACTCTCTAGAGACTTTTCTATTAAGGTTTGGGTATTTAGCTTGAACAAGTCCATACCTTCCACACTCAAAACACTTTCTGTCATTCTTGTCTTGTTTATTGCATTGTCTAGTTCGTCTAGATGACATCCTTTTTTTTGTATTTCTATATCTTCTCATCAATCTTTTCATGTTTCTTGATACCATGGCAATTTCTTCTTCAAGAACTTCTGGATCATCATCAATATCATTTTCATGTCCTTCATTAGTAGTCTTGAAAGCAACTGTTTTCTTCTTTTCTTCCTGATGCGTTTTCTTCAGATGGGTTTTCTCAAACTTGATCATCATATGAAAGTTTTGTCAAGATCCTGAGATTCAAGTGCAACTACTTTTGTCTGCCATGTAGTAGGCATGCTTCTCAGAATTTTTCGAACTTGATCACCACTTGAGTAAAGCTTACCAAAGGCTTTCAGATCACTAATGCTTTTGCTGAATCTTGCAAACATCTCCTCAATGGATTCTCCTTCTTTCATCTGGAAGAGTTCATAATCGTGAACTAACAGGTTTATCCGAGTTTCTTTCACTGCTGGTTCCTTCATAGATACCTTCCAGGTTGTCCCACATTTCTTTGGTGGTATCACAACTTAATATTTTCTCATACTCTTCTCCACTTCTAGCATTATAAAGCAAGTTTTGTGCCTTAGAACTAACTTGAACGACAACCATTTGCTCGTCTGTGTATTCATCTATATCTTCAGGATCTGCAGGTGGTTGAGTTGATGTTGGCGGTGGATAATTTCTCTTTTTGATAACACTCCATACTTTGACATCATTGGATATAAATTTTCATGCACACTTTCTAGTGGTAGAAGTGTTGTCCATTGAAATATGATGGCATTACTTGTGATGTCCCTTCTTGAGATAGTGCTCCAATTGTTACTTGATTTGACATGATCTTTTCTCACTAGTTGTTAAGCAAAAGATAAAAGTGTGAGACTAGCTTTGATACCAATTAAAAGTACAAGAGGGGGCGAATAACTGATTTTTTTTGTATCCTAAGTAATTGACTAGTTTACTAATTAGTCGACTGAAGGTAAGAGCAAAATATAAGTAAAGCAAAAATAAAATGCAGGAATTAAAGACACAATGAATTTATATTGGTTAAGATTCAATGTGAATCTTACGTCCAGTCCCCTTGGGTTGCAAGGGTGTTCTCTTTCAGTATTTGAAGTTTCTCGATACAAGAGAGTTGATGTAGCTTTACACCAACAACTTAGTCACTATGTCACTTCTCGTTTCTTGATACAATGCCTTACTAGTGTTTTTCTCTATTTCTTCTCTCACTAATTATAGAGCAGATCTAAAGTGAACTATATATAGTGTTTGTTTGGAGTAGAACAAAAAAGAGTAATAGTGGTTCGTTCATAGTATATTTCTTCAAAGCTGATGCAATGGGTACTTATACTTCGTGAGGCCTTCATGTCTTGTGAATCTTGAGAGATTGCGAACTCAAGGGAGTTGATCTCATAAGGAATCGTAAATTGATTCTTTCCAAGTATAGAATATTTTTTTGTTGATCTGTCTTGACTTATGGTCTTGATTTATTTCTTCCTTTGTTGAGTGGATATTCCCGTTATCAAAACCTTTGATTTCTGCTTCGATTGACGTCCTTATATGGAGGAATCTTCAGTGCATAATTTCGTGCCCTTGATTTCCTTTTATTGAGGTCCTTCTTATAATATCCTCCTTGATCTCATACCAAATCCTTGATTGATTTTGCCTTTGATTTTCCGCTACTCCTTCCTTTTTCGCCTTGATTCTTCTATGTCTCTTTTCCATTACTCAAGGATTGTTTCTGCACATAAAGAGTAATTCGTTATTTTGCTTCATTAAAATTAACTTATATCTAACAGTTGGACATGTATTTGAACTTCTACCTCCGTTACCACAGTAGTTAGTCCTCATCTAAAAATCCGAATGCCTTTATCAAAAGCACAAATTCTTCAATAATGGGCTCTCCTGCCACTTTTCTATATACATATGATGAGAGATTTCAGAAGAGAAGGGGTCGGATACTGTGTGTCTTGTCTGGGGTTGAGAGTGACTTGAGCATCTGCATACACTTACAAATCATGGCACTGAAAAACATGGCATTTTTATGAGCATTTAAAACTGGAATAGTACCATTGAAAAGGACACTTGAGCAATATGGGAAAAACATTACTTTTAATCCTATTTTCCAGCCTTTTCTTATAGTCATCGGTCCACCAATTGGACCCTATAGAAATTGCTTTTTTTGTTTGTCATTCAGTGTTTAATGTCCCTATTAAAATCCGACTAAATTCAAACTCATGCTGAAAAGTTCATCATTGGAGGGTAGAACATTCTCAAAGACGATTTTATATTGAGAGCTTGAATCCGAGACGTTTGATTAAGAATAAATGAATACGTATTGGTCCATCGCAAACCCTAATTGGTCCCATGGCAGCTGCTTTGGCTTCATATTCTTATATAACATGAAATAGACTTTCTTGAAAACATAGCTTTAATCCTATTTCCAGCCTTTTTCTTGTAGTCATTGGTCCACCACTCAGAATCCTAGCAACAACATACGTGGCTTTATATTCTTTTACATATTGAAATCGACTTTCAGGATATTGTTGGGTTAATAATTAGGTGTAGAGGGTGAAATTGGATAATTTCCATCATTGGTAAATTTCCATTCCATAATGAAATCGGGCAGCGGCAGCCTAGTATACAAGGCATCCCGTATTCACACAGGGTTTGAGGAAAGGCTGCACTCCAAGGGGTGTAATATAGACAACATATTTTAATGTAAGCATTAGTGACTGTTTTCACAGTTGGAACCCATAATCTATGGGTCACATGAAAACAACTTTACCATTGCTCCAAGGGTCCATCATCAAACCAAAGTGTCAAAAAGGGATTTAAATAGTATGGAGCTCAAAGTTGAGGCGGATCTAGAGCAGATTCAACTGATCGAACACACTGCTTTTAAGTTGATTCATAAGTATATGTACAAAAATTGCAATGATTCTGAGTTTAACCGAACACATAACATTCTGAATCCATAGAAATTAAGATTAGCCTATGGTCACTATAATTCACTTATAACAATTGGATTCATGTCTCTTCGCTAAAAAGTGGTGGCTAAAGGCCATATTTTCTTATAGTGAGTAGGCTAAAATGAAGCAAAGAATTTCTTATTTGGTGCTTGACGATCAATTGGTTTAAGTCAAAAAGATCAAATATTTTGTTTTATTTTTACGTGAGATTATATTGGGTTTGTTGTTGTTGTTATTGTTATTTTACCTTTGTATCCCCCTTGTGTAAGGTAAATATCTTAAGTTATAATCTAGGAATTTTATAAATAGCGTGATAAATCTCCAAACTATTTGACAAAGAAATTTAAGCTGTTTTATAAAAGTTGAACCAGATAAGCTATTGACCCTTCCCCCCTCCCCCCCCCCCCCACCCCCCCCCCCCAAAAAAAAAAAAAAGAGTACAATCAACAAGGATTTTCTAACGCTTATTATATATCACCAGTATAAAGGAACTTATACAATGCATATTATATTAGGTTATTACTCTACTTTTCAGGTTAGCGTAGTATGTTTGATATAGAAAGTTACAACAAGGGTTGTGGTGGAGTGGTAAGTACTCCTTCATCCTTAATCAGAGGTCTCGAGTTCGAGCCCCTGGGTATGGAGTCGCCTTTGTTAGGGAGCCCTTACCCCCCAATGTGGGACTTTCCGGCGCGAATCCGGATTAGTCTGGCTCCAATGTGGATACTGGATACCGGGTAAGAAATAAAAAAATAAAAAATAAAAAGATATAGAAAGTTACCAATTTTTATAGGTCAATTTTAATCTAACAGAGTAAAATAACATAAAAAGATATCATAATAAGTCCAAAATAAGACTAGATTTATAGAGTAATAAAACCATTTTATTATATTTAGTGTTACAACAAAAGATAGTTAACCTTGTACATTTCATAACATGTCCAAAATCTCACTACCATTTCATGGGCAGAAAAGTAGTTGGACTACTACTACTACTGTTAAACTACTCACATTTTTTACCTTCTGTAAATGGAAGATGACAAATACTTAGTCAAAGCTGGGTAAACCTCTCTACAAACTGCAGCCTCTTTTGCCACTGTTTGGAACTGTTTACTATTACAAGAGTTGCATGTTATTATCTTCACATGTGACTGTGAGCCAACAATCTTCATTTCTGCACAGTCTTTTAGGAGCTGAACAGTACTGTATTCAGCTAATAATTGTTGTCTAATTTCCCTTGCTTTTGCCATTTCTAGGTTGGCTAATTCAATCAAACACTTTGCTTCTTGTCTCTTCTCTGCAGCCATTGCCTTTTCTTCCATTGCTATTTTCAGGATTTCTTTTGCTTCACTTTTTAGTTTTGATACTTGTATTGTTGTGTCTTCTATGATCAAAGCTGCTGCTTTCTCAGTGTGTTGGACTTGGTAATAATTACTACTATCACTTTGACCACCAAATGACAAATTTAATTGTGGGGTTTGTTCATTTTCCAAGAAAGAAGAATAATTATGTGTGTTTTGATTATAGTTGGAAGAAGTGAAAAGCTCAAGTTCAAGATTAGGGTGAGTGATATTCTTAGGCATTCTTGAATTTGAGTAGTTTGAAAAATATTGAGCTGGCTTTGGTTTTTGCACATCACATTCTTTACTAGTAGTTGTACCTTGTGCTTTGCATGAATCTTGATGTTCAATAAAGGTTTCAACTCTGAAACAGGCAATTAAAATGGGGGAAAAAAATTAAAAAGGGGTAGAAACTTGTACCTCTGAATATGTTTTAAAAAAAAAAGCACACTGAATATACAGTAGCTTACAAAACAATTATTACGTTTAAGACTACGTATATATGTAACCAATTCAAGTGACACGGCAATCTCATCTTGATTTGTGTGTATAATATGCATTCTTAAATTGAGTTTGGTTAGTATACACTAACACTGGCAGCATAAATTTTATTACCTCTTCTGTTTAAAAAAGATTGGCATACTTAGAAGTACGAAGATCAAAATACTTAACTTTGGCTGTGAATTCGGACATAGATTCTTCAAATTTTTAAAAATAAAATTTACGTATTTGAAAACTACATAAAAGTATTTTATGACATAATAATTCATAACTTAAATTTTTTATAATATATTCAAGAAAAACATGGTCAAAGAACAATCAAATTGTAATGGTGCCAATCTTTTTTAAACGGAGGGAATAGTAATTTTTTACACTATCGTCGTATCATCTAAAAAATAAATAAAAATAACATTTCATAAAATTGAGATTTGTAAGTTTAATAAGGATTAAAAACTAGGACAGGTTAAAATCCATTACCAATAGTGTAAAAATTCTTTGCGCACTATCAGTATATACTAAGTTAAATTCCATTCTTTATCTTCTTCTTTTACCATTACTCTAATGCTCCCATCAGGGGAGGATTTAGGGGCGGAAGGATGTTCACTCGAACCCCCTTCGTCGAAAAATTACAATGTATATATAAGGCAAAGCTCGATTTGTACGTCTATATATTATGTTTTGAATCCCCTTGACACAACCTAAAAGCATAGCTCAATGATCAAGGGGGTTCAAAATCTTTGTTAGGTTGTAAAATTTTTTGCACCATTGAGTATATAAAGTATATATATTATTTTTTATTTTGAGAAAAAGTGGATTTATAAAAGAAGATGATGAACCTGGAGAAGACTCGGCCACAGTCACAAGAATGGCCTCTAGTACCACAAGTTTTGATGTGAGCTTTGTAATCTGATTGAACAGCATAACCTTTAGAGCATTTCTGACAAACCCATTGTTTGTAATTGCTATGTTTCCTTCTGAAATGTTTTTTGATTCCCACAAGGTCTCCTAGTGCATGGCTTGGATCATGGTGCACACAACTTGGCTCTGGGCACACATATACTCTCTTCTTTACTTGCTCCATCTCATTCTTCTCTTCTTCCTTCAATAAAAATTATGGTACCTTTTATAATCGCATTAACTTTTAAATGAGATGATCACACAATTTAACATGATATCGAACAAACATGGATTCATGGATTCAATTCTATAGGCACATATTATTGAAAAGAATTTATGTGTTTGACCAGGGGGAGCTAAGGGGCGGAAGAGGGTTCATCCGAACCTTCTTCACCAAAGTATCTTTTGTAGATATAAGGTCAAAAACTTTTTTTTATTTATATACAATTGATGTTGAATCCCATTGATGAAAATTCAGTTTCTGCTAGTGTCAGTTTGACACATAAAAAAAATAGGTTGTATGTAAGAGAGAGTTGTTCTATCAAATAGTTTAAATTTTTCGATAGATTAAATGGCCACACATGAATCCTATACCGTCAAACCTCTATAACAGTCTCATTTGTTCCGATATTTTTTGGCTGCTATGTTAAAAAAAAAACGAATTTTATTGTGAATGTGTGTTATGTAAGAATGTTGTTATAGAGAGGTTCGACTATACCTTCTTCTTCAACTTCCATGGAACCTTATGGCGGCGGCGGTGCATCTGAAGATTCTGCTCTCTTTGAAAGCTAAGGTTACAGATTTCACAAACGTAACGATCGGATTCCATTAGCATCTCAGCTGTGAGATACACAACTTGTGCATCAGGATCTGCAATCAATTATATGCTCAGTAATACATTTGAGCCTATGAATAGGGTTAGATATATATTTAAAAATTTAATCTGTCAAACTCACAAATCATAACGTCTAAATTCTGAATCTACCAAACTTGTTTTAAAGTTATAATGGATACCACAAGAGACCAGAAAAAGAAAGATTATGTATATATGTAAGTAGAAAAAGTAAAGAAAATTCTACTAAGTAATTAATTAACCTGGAGTACCAGCAGGTCTTCTTTTTCTTTTGATAATAAAACCATTTTCTGGGGAAGAAAATGGTTCAGAATGAGAAGGAGCTGCTGGAAACAAGAAAGAGTGGCTGGCTAGCATGGGTTACTGTTGAACTGAGATATTCAACCAATTTTTGTGCTGTTGCTTTTTGGCTTCTTAACTTTTCTATCTATTTGGATAGAGGAGGAGAACGATTTAAAGCCAATATATATATTGTATAGTACTCCAGTATGCTTCCGATTATTGTTTCTTTTTAAAAACATAGAAAAAACGATTATTTTATACCATCAACGTGACATAATTGGTAAAGTTGTTGCCATGTGACTAGGAGGTCAGGGGTTCGAGCCGTGAAAACAGCCTCTTGTAGAACCGGCTGCGTATAATACACCCTTGTGGTCCGGCCCTTTCTCGGACCTCGCGCCTAGCGGGAGCTTAGTGCACCTGGCCGCCCTTTAACATAATTTAAATTGTTATAGCAGTTTACTTATTATTTATTCGAGATATAATTTAATCACTGTAAAACACTATGTGAACTTATTACAATCGGGGAGTCAAAGAGAGTTTTCTTTGACCATATTTTTTCGTAAATAATTTTAAATATTTTGAATTGTTAACTACTCCTTATAGTACTTTTGATGTAGTCTCTAAGCATGTAAACTTTATTTCAAAAATATTAAAAATTATGTTTTTGAATTTACATGAAAAATTAATTAAAATAAAATTATATGATAATTACCTTTTAATATATTTGATTGTATAAGTGTTCTCACATCATCAGTAAATTTTACATTAAGTATTACTCCATCTTTTCAATTTATGTGTTTTACTTTTCTTTTTAGTCTCTTAATGAAAGAATGCTTTTTATATTTAGTACTCCCTCCGTTTCAATTTAGATGAGGTGTTTGACTCGACACGAAGCTTAAGAAAAAAAAAAAGACTTTTGAAACTTGTGGTCTTAAAAGCTTAAGGGGTAAAAACTTTTGAAACAGAGGGGTAACTCTTTAACTTAAACTTTCCATATGACATTTTTAAGACCATAAGATTCAAAGACATTTTGGTACATTACATACATCTTTAGTTTTGGACCACGAGATTTAGAAGTCTTCTTTACTTTCTTAAACTCCGAACACAGTCAAACTAAGACACATAACTTGAAACAGATGGCGTAGTTATTAAGAATGATAATTAATCTGTTATAATAGATTAACTATACTGATAGTGTAAAAAATGGTTATACTATCGATGCATATAACTTAAATCAAGAACTTATCTCATTATTATTTTTCCTTTTGTAAGTACATGACACAAATATTTTCGTATGAGACGTACTTAGTACCATATGTATATGGTCAAAATCGAGGAGTACGATTTTGAAGTCTTAAATCAGGCTATAGGCCCGAGTCCGGGAGACTCGGAGTGGGTGTCGTATCCGGCTAAGGGACACCTACCTCGAGGAAGCTGATCGAATGCCTGGCACGGACTGCATCGAGGGCAGCATTGTCTCGAAGTCAATCAAGAAAGAGCGGCAATTTCTCAAGAACACGTGGATTTGGGCATTAATTATAGGATAAGGGTTGTACAAAATTGTACAGGTCCGTACTAGGCCGTTATACACATGTACCAATAGAATTCTTTACCTTTATGAGCAAGGTACTATATTGGGGTTTTATCCTCCTATATAAAGGGGACCCCAATCATTTGTTAAGGAGATCATTCACTGCAATAGAACATTCTTATCTTCTCTTGTTTAACGTGCTCAGCAATTATTCTTCAGTTTTATTGCCTTTACTTTATTGTTCATACTTTATTAGTCTTAGATGTCCTTGAGGTCCATGGATAGACGAGCTCGAGGCCCCTACTGTTCTGATAACATCGATTTGGTTCATTATTTCTTCTTACTTAAGCTCAATAATACTTATATAATCACTAGTATTAGAATATATCACGTATCTTTAAAACCACAAATTATCTTTAATGTCACTCATATTTTTCGAGGTAAACTGAGGCTAGAATGGGAAAATGTTGTGCAGGTGCACCATGTTCTAAGAAGTTCTGTTTGGATTGAATAAAATTGAAGGCATGTTTGATGAATACCTTTGCCTTTTTATCTTAATGAAGCCTGCTTTTCCTTAATCGTGTGGGGTTAAGGGATGAATTTAAAGAAGGGTTGTTGGATTTATTGCTAAGGCAGGGACACTTGATGATTTTCGTATTGAAGGAACGATTAGATGCCCTTGTGTGAAATGCAAGTGTTTTAAGTTATTGCGAGAAGATGTTGTTACATGTCATCTTTTTAATAAAGAAATTATGGAAAATTATTGTGTATGGATTGCTCATGGGAGAATCTTGATAGCGTAAATGATTGTGATTTTCATAATTCTTTCTGTAGTGAGGAGCGTAGTCCCGTAGTGGATAATAATGTCGAAAATTACTTTAAATTATTAATGGCATCTTCATATTTGTATGTTTATATTGTTATATATGTGACAAGAGAGTGCCAGTGATACTCAAAGGTAAGTTCTATAAAGCGGTGGTTAGACCGACCATGATATATGGGGATGAGTGTTGACCGGTTAAGAACTCACATATCCAGAAGATGAAGGTAGCAGAAATGAGGATGTTGAGGTGGATATGCGGACATACTAGGATGGATAAGATTAGGAATGATGATATTTAGGAGAAGGTGTGCGTGGCTCCTATTGATGACAAGATGCGGGAAGCGAGGCTCAGATGGTTCGGGCATGTTCAGAGGAGAAGCCCAGATGCTCCGGTAAGGAGGTGCGAACAGTTGGTTGTGGAGGGCACGAGAAGAGGTAGAGGGCGGCCTAAAAAGTATTAGGGGGAGGTGATTAAGCGGGATATGGCGAGGCTTCAGATTTTCGAGGACATGGCACTTGATAGGACAATGTGGAGGTCGAGTATCAGGGTTGTAGGTTAGCAGGTAGTTGAGTCTTGCCTTATGTCATAACTTTGTGAGGCTAGTTTGGTAGGGATACTATTTCGCTTTTGCTTTGTATCTTTCTTCTTGATTTCATGTTGTTCATATTTTTCATATTATTTCTGTGGTGTTACTGATATAGTCTCCTTTTGTCTATTTATCTTCTTGAGCCGAGGGTCTTTCGGAAACAGCCTCTCCACTCCTTCGGGGTAGGGGTAAGGTCTGCGTACACACTACCCTCCCCAGACCCCACTAGTGCACTGGGTCGTTGTTGTTGTTGTTGTTGTATGTTTATATTTGATATGTTAAATTTTTTTACATGTAAATATTTTATATTCAATACACAGATGGATTCTCACGGTAAAGAAATAAAAAAATCTAAGAAGAAAAAACACATTTCACCTAGATCAACTCAGCTTCCTCCACCTACACCAAATATGAGCCCTCCTCCTATGCCTCCTCGTCCTTCCATGCCAGCTTCACAGCCATGTCTGAAGGAACTCAGCCGGCCCTGGAGGATATGACTGCAATTCGGACACAAGCGGCTGGTGGTGTGAATAAAGGTATAAATATTATGTAATTATCTATTTTGGTATTAGTTTGAATGTTGCTTGTTTGTTTTCTTACTTCTTTTACTTTCTTTTCTTTATTTCT